TCAGTGTGTAAAGGCTGGCGCCCTAAACCGTCCTAGGTCCTGGATGCAAATCCCCCCATAGCCCGAAACACAAACCTCCTAAGCCCTCAACCCCTAAAGCCCCCAAACCCCTAAAGCCCCAAACCCCTAAACCCTAAACCCTAAACCATAAACCCTAAACCCTAAACCCTAAACCCTACGGCAAATCCTCAGCACCAGAATCAGGCTCGGATGCAGGACTCAAGTGCATCACCGACCACAAAGACAGCTGCGACTCGCCTTTTTAGTATTAGCAGGTTTCACCGGGGTGCAGAGGTTACGCTTTAACGAACCCTAAATCCCTAAACCCTAAACCCTAAACCCCCGACCCCCCAAATGTGGGTTTTTAGAGGGAGCTAGGGACCCTAACTTCCTTCAAACCCGGCTTCCCAAGCCCTATATGTCCTGAAACGTGAAGCCTACATAGAGGTGTTAGGGTTTTATAGAGGGGTCTAGGGATAGCCTGATGGCTAGCCCGGGACAACATTTTTGTTTTTCCTTCTGCAATCAAGCTCTACGGCAGTGGTTTCGGACTAGGATGAGGTATGAGGGTGTAGGGACTAGGGTCTAGGGTCTAGGGTCCAAGGATTAGGGTTTAGGGTGTTTAAAGGTTATGGTTAAGGGTTTAGGGATCAGTTTCTTGTGGATGTAGTGCTTCGTTTGTTGATGTGAAGCCGTCTGCCTCCAACCCTCACAAGAAGCCCCAAAGCACTGTGGACTTCAACCCTAAACCCCTAAACCCCCGACCCCTAAATTTTGGGCTTTAGAAGGAGCCAGGGACCCTCAACTTCCTTCAAACCCGGCATCCCAAGCCCTACACGTCCTGAAACTTGATGCCTACATGCCCGCAGCTCCGCAACTTTCTCCAGAGGCTAGGCAGTCTCGGCATACCTTTGTCATAGTTGGGTAACATTTTGGATTGTTCAGGGTGCTTAAAACCCAATAAGGAATATAAAGGCAAAAATTTAATACTATCCCAACCATGAATCAGATACCCTACACCCAAAATCGAGCCCCCCTAAACCCTACAGGGTTAGCTATTAGGGCTTGGGGTTTGGGCGTCTACGGTAAAGGGTTCAGGGTTTTACTGTTTCTGGCCGTTCTGCCGAGCTGCAGGTATGTCGGCCTTCGAGATTGTGTCCTCTGGCGGCAATGTGGTAGAACACGCAGCTTCGCCGCTACCCTCCTTGTGGGTCCAGGGTTCGGGGTTTAAGGTTTTAGGTTTTGGGTTTGGGGGTTTGGGGTTTAGGGTGCGGGGGTTCAGGGTAGGGTTCGGGTGGGGCCCTTTCACTCCCTTGCCTGCCCTAAGCCCAAACACTCTATCAGCCCTGCGCTCCAAAGCCCAAAGAACAGCCTACCCCACCCCCCCCCCCGCCCCCAAACCCTAGTCCCCCTAAGCCCTAATCCCTACAACTTAAACCCTAAACCTTAAACCCCAAACTCCAAACCTAAGAAGCAGTGACGCGCTGAACCCGACGTCCCACAAGCCTTAGCTTGAAACCTCGAAAGCCAAAGCCCCAAGCGCCGAAGTTCCTGCGGCTACTTTGGTTCTGGGCTTTGGGCTTTGGGTGTTTAGGGTTTAGGTGCTTAGGGTTTTGGGTTTGGGGTTTAGGGTGTTGAGTTGTTGTTTAGGGTCTAGGGGGTGTAGGGTTGAGGGTTAGACGTGTAAGCCCTGAGCCCAACCCTGCCAGCCTGCATCTTAAGCCTGTAGCTTCAGGATCGTTTAGGGTTTAGGGTTTAGGGTTTAGGGTTTAGGGCTAAGCTGCATCCAGCGAGGTCCATGGCTCATGACCTTCGCCACTGCGACCGCGTGCGATGCACAGATGCAGGCCACGAGCACGCACTTTGCTATGGGGGGCATCAGAGATGATGAGTTAGGTTCTGTGGGGGGGGCGTTCGGAGTGAGCTACTGTTCCATAGAGATGTTTGGACCCTATAAACCCTACAAACCCTATAACCTCAACCCCTATAAACTCTACAAACCCTGAACCCTAAACCGCCTGCTCAGAGAGTGCTATCAGGCGTTATAGGGCTTCAGGTGAGGCGGGATCGAAGTTTTCTTGTAGTTCATGACTTTTGGTGCTGGTGGGTTTAGGGTGTCCCGAAACCCTAAACCCTAAACCCTAAACCTTAAACCCTAAACGAGGGTGCGGTCGTACCGCGCTACAAATTTTAGAACTGCAACATGTGGTTGTTGAACTACGCTAGGGTGCATGTCAAGGTTTGCGTTCACTCTTCTCCTTGTGCTCCCTAAACCTTGCACCCGGTCCTTTGCGACAATTGCTGTGTACTGCAAGTTCAACAGCCATTGGGCTCGGTCGGCGCAACTTGGACTTGGACGTGTGCTGCGAGGACTGGTTCTTGAATGGAGCACTATTGTATTCCGCTAACTACTCCTCGCTACCTCTTACTTCTTCGACCTGCACAAACGCCTTTGGGGTCCGTGTCCTCAATCCGCCAAAGGAGACGTGTTTTCAGTGGCTTGGGCCAGCGAAGCTGCGAAAACGTGTAGCCTTTGGGGTCCGTGTCCTCAATCCACCAAAGGAGACGTGTTTTCAGTGGCTTGGGCCAGCGAAGCTGCGAAAACGTGTAGCCTTTGGGGTCCGTGTCCTCAATCCGCCAAAGGAGACGTGTTTTCAGTGGCTTGGGCCAGCGAAGCTGCGAAAACGTGTAGCCTTTGGGGTCCGTGTCCTCAATCCGCCAAAGGAGACGTGTTTTCAGTGGCTTGGGCCAGCGAAGCTGCGAAAACGTGTAGCCTTTGGGGTCCGTGTCCTCAATCCACCAAAGGAGACGTGTTTTCAGTGGCTTGGGCCAGCGAAGCTGCGAAAACGTGTAGCCTTTGGGGTCCGTGTCCTCAATCCGCCAAAGGAGACGTGTTTTCAGTGGTTGGGCCAGCGAAGCTGCGAAAACGTGTAGCCTTTGGGGTCCGTGTCCTCAATCCGCCAAAGGAGACTTGTTTTCAGTGGTTTGGGCCAGCGAAGCTGCGAAAACGTGTAGCCTTTGGGGTCCGTGTCCTCAATCCGCCAAAGGAGACGTGTTTTCAGTGGCTTGGGCCAGCGAAGCTGCGAAAACGTGTAGCCTTTGGGGTCCGTGTCCTCAATCCGCCAAAGGAGACGTGTTTTCAGTGGCTTGGGCCAGCGAAGCTGCGAAAACGTGTAGCCTTTGGGGTCCGTGTCCTCAATCCGCCAAAGGAGACGTGTTTTCAGTGGTTTGGGCCAGCGAAGCTGCGAAAACGTGTAGCCTTTGGGGTCCGTGTCCTCAATCCGCCAAAGGAGACGTGTTTTCAGTGGTTTGGGCCAGCGAAGCTGCGAAAACGTGTAGCCTTTGGGGTCCGTGTCCTCAGTCGGCCAAAGGAGAGGGCCCGTGCCTTACGGTCTCCCGGGCTCTCTCCTGTTTGTTTTTTTGGTAGATGCACCCTTCGGGAGATGAACCTAGGGATTTGGGTCAGAAGCCCAATCGCTTTGCAGCTTGGCCAAAAGAGACGTGTTTTCAGTGGTCTGGGGCAGCGAACCTGCGAAAACGTGTAGCCTTTGGGCTCCGTGTCCTCAATCCGCCAAAGGAGACGTGTTTTCAGTGGTCTGGGGCACCGAAGCTGCGAAAACGTGTAGCGTTACGGTCTCCCGGGCTCTCTCCTGTGGTTTTTTTTTGTGGATGCACCCTTCAAGAAATGAGCCTAGGGATTTGGGCTTGGCCAAAAGAGACGTGTTTTCAGTGGTATGGGGCATCGAAGCTGCGAAAACGTGTAGCCTTTGGGGTCCGTGTCCTCAATCCGCCAAAGGAGACGTGTTTTCAGTGCTTTGGGCCAGCGAAGCTGCGAAAACGTGTAGCCTTTGGGGGTCCGTGTCCTCAATCCGCCAAAGGAGACGTGTTTTCAGTGGCTTGGGCCAGCGAAGCTGCGAAAACATGTAGCCTTTGGGGTCCGTGTCCTCAATCCGCCAAAGGAGACGTGTTTTCAGTGGTTTAGGCCAGCGAAGCTGCGAAAACGTGTAGCCTTTTGGGGTCCGTGTCCTCAGTCGGTCAATCCGCCAAAGGAGACGTGTTTAAAAGGGTGCAGATGCACCCTTCGGGAGTCGAGCCTCGGGATTTGGGTCAGAAGCCCAATCGCTTTGCCGCTTGGCCAAAGGACCTTTTTTCAATTCGAACAAAAAACGTGTAACCTTTCGGGTCCGTGTCCTCAGTCTCTCACAGGAGACGTGTTTGGGCAGCAAAGCTGCGGAAACGTGTAGCCTTTGGGGTCCGTGTCCTCAGTCTGCCAAAAGGAAACATGTTTTCAGTGGCTTGGCACTGCGTCCGTAAACCCGACGCACACACACACACACACACACACTCTCTCTCTCTCTCTCTCTCTCTCTCTCTCTCTCTCTCTCTCTCTCTCTCTCTCTCTCTCTCTCTTTCTTCCTCCGCAGTACTATCTACTTGCTGCTAGAACACACTTCCTTCTGCAGTCACTGCTTTTGCCACGCGCGAAGGTTGTGTTCATGGTCTCCGCTCTAATTCCTTCATGCCGACTCTCTAAGCCCTCAAGTGAGTACCAGCGCTTGTGCATTTCTCTTCGTTCTTGGCAGGAAAGCTTTCTCATGGCGCGAAAGGTGCCGAAGTCTGTTGGAAGCAGCAAGGCACACGTCCCGTTTGCTGACATGGCCATTTGCTAGTCTTCTGAGTGCCGGAAGTGCTGAGAAGACCAAGACCTTCCAAGCGTGCGACGTGATGCACAGTTGGGGCTGGCCCAAGCAGTGCAACAAGGGAACCTTAACCCCACAGAAGAGAGTAAGGGCCACTCCGGGCTATTGTAAGAAGCCCTCAACCCCAAAAATAAAAACCTAAACCCCTAACCCCAAACTGAAAAAAAAATAAGCTCTCAGCCCTAAACCCTAAACCCGAACGGCCTGCAACATGGCGGAGCTCAGGGGTTCGAGCAAAGAGTACACCAGGCCCACAGCCTTACTGTTGGTTAGCAGGGAACGAGGGAATTTCCTTCAGCGATGGCGGACGCCGCCAGTGCCGGGGATGCGGACACTCCCGAAGGGAGTAATCGTGTCCGGCGTGACCTCAAGTTTGAGCCTCTCGCGCAAGACCCTTTTGTTATCTCGCGTGACAAGATGAAGTCAGGACAGACTGCGCCAGAAGAGGTTCGGTTCGCTGCTCGTGCGTGGTTGAAGCAGCGCAAGCTGCTGGGTGGGTACTTCTCACAGCCACGGTTCACTGCAGACGAGCGCTGGGTATGCACATGCAGATGCACAGAGCACGACGCTTGTTTCAAAGGGGAAGGAGCCTGGTATCAGTTCAGTGGCTCTTGGCATTCTTCCCGCGAGTTCGACAGCCTGCGAGTGTCGCAAGCCGGAAACTGCTCTGGCGCAGGGCGACGTAAAGCTGCCAAGCAGAAGCCGCTCGAGCAGCAGCCAACTGTGGCCGAACTCCAAGCTGTCCATAGGGCTATAGATGCTCTTTTGGAACGGGGTCTTCGACCGACAGCAAGCAACGTCGCCATCCGGATGGGCACAGACAGAGTGGCAACAGACATCGTACGGTCCGTGCTGCAGCAACGCAAGAAGAATTCCCAGCTTGACACAACTGCAGTTTTTCACGACTCCTGGCCTGCCTTTCAGGAACACATTCGTCAGTACGAAGATCCGGACTGCAAGCCACTGTATTTTGCGGAGGTTACTTTGCGAGCTTTCAGCTATGTGGCTCTGCTGCCGCATTTCCTGGAGGCGCTGGGTCGGCTGTTGGCCGATGAGCAGACTTGCAACAGCGGGTGGTGCATGTGCGCGGACTTTGCACACACTTTGTGTGTCATGAACTTCAAGTATGCCGTTGTGTGTGCTGTCGTTTTCAGAATGCTGAATGGCGTGTGGAGGAGAACGCCGTGGCCTTTGCTGATAGCAAGTGCACCCATGGAGACCGGCGTGGGCTACAAGAGAATCTTCACCCTACTCAAGCAAGAACTGCTTCGCAGGGGCATTCGAGAACCGTCCCAGCTCAATGTCGACCATTTTACCGGCTCCATGTCAGCAGCCAAGGAAGTCTTCCCCTCAATCGTCGTCGTCCAAGATGTGGAGCACATGCGGCGGGCCATCATGCTGAATCACAAGAAAGGTCGGCGGCAGCGTGCCCAGCTCGTCGCGCCGAAAAGCGCGGCAAAGGCGCGTGCCAAGGCGAAAGGAAAGGCAAAGGCGAAGGCCAGGGTTCGCCCACCTGTTCTGGCTCCGCATCTGGAGAATCGCCCTATATGGGCTGTGCAACTTGGCATTGGTTTAGCACTGCGTTTTTGATATACAGGATGTAGGCCAGACTTGGGCAGAAGAGCATTGGTTTAGCACTGCGTTTTTGATATACAGGATGTAGGCCAGACTTGGGCAGAAGAGTGTCATATTCCAGCTGAGGCTGTCACTCTTGGCAGACCTGTGCCTGCTGCCCGGCCAGCTTTTCTTCCACTTGGTGATGGACATTTGCTTGCTTCGCATGCGCCATGTGTGGAAGGAGATGCGCTTCGTGGCCTACTTCGAGGCCAACTACCTGCGGAAGCGCCGGGCCCCGCAAGGATCTGGGCTCGAGGTGATGCATGATGCGACCTGGCGTTTCGGCATGGCGGGTCCTCTGCTGCGAGGGCATCCGCCAACGCAACAAACGGCCGAACAGGCCAACGCAAAGGTCAAAAGAGATGTGCGAGGGGGCGGCAACGTTTTGGACACTCACATGGCCGTGGCCGAGGCCTTGCGCAGCGCTGCGGTGGTTTGGACGTCGCCCTACCAGCCAAAGGACGGGGCCAAGCCCTTGACACTCATGGCATCCAGTGATGAAGCCTTGGCAACGAGAAGCCCAAGGGCGCCGGACAGGTGGATGTTGGGAAAGCAGATGTTTCGTGTTCGTCGGCCATTTGGCTCTTTGGAGGCGTTTCCGCCAATTCCAGCTTTGCTTCGACGGTTCCGACTGGCCAACAGTGTCTACATTCGGGAAGACACCACAGGCCAGGGTGAGGCTGAAGTCCGCTGGGCTTGCGTGGCCACGAACAAGCCTCAGGCAGTGCCGCTGGGTCAGTTGGCGCTGATGCGGGACATGCTCCTGGAACGCAAATCGGAGGCCTTGATGCAGAAGCTGCTGGCCGCCAACATTGTTGTTCCTGTTGGGGACCAGCGTGCGAAGTTCAAGTTCGACCGGGGATCTTATCATGCGTGTTGGTCCAAGTTCTCTCTTGTCTGGACGAGAGCTCGCGACTCTCAGGTGCACTGTACATGTTTTTTGCACAGATGGGCAGGCCACTGCCCTCATAGCTACGCACTCGCAGAGTACTGGGATATCCAGACCTTTCGCGGCGCTGACGTGCCAAATGCTGCGCAGGCGGCGCAAGAAGCCAGGGAAGACGCAGGCTCTGAGGAAGAGTTGAACCCCCGTGCTCCGAAGCGAGCCAGACGTTCGCGGTGATTTGACAACAGAGACAAAAGCGCAGACCCTATCATTTATCGAGTCCTTGCGTTTCTGCAGCCGGGCAAGTGCTTAGATTTGCTTAGATTTGCTTGACTTTGCTTTCCGCGCGCAGGCGCCTCTGCTAGACTTGACGGAGGACCAGGCCCGGGCGTTGTCGCTTATCCCTGCAGACGCAAAGTAGAGACTTCCTGCCGAGGCGGCGCCTGTGCAAGGAAGCCCGGTGGACCTCACGGAGGTCGCTTCCTTTACTTGTGCTCCTTAGCCTTCTGAAGAATCATAACCTCGAGTCAGCAGGAGATGCCTCCTCCCTACGAGGAGGACTTTTTGCTGTCGTGTGACAGCAAATCTGCTACGCCCCTGCGTCAAGGCCCTAAACCGTGAAGCCTGAACTGGTAGACGGCCTCGGGCTCAGCCAGTGTTCTCCTTGTCTCCTTCGCTCTGCAGGTGAGGAGATGCCACCAACCACGCCCGTCACCTCCTCAGCAGGACGCGGGCAGTTGCGCCCTTCTGGCTGCAAAACAAACGTGTCCTGCAACAGGAGAGGAGCCGCAACCTCTGGGGCCTTGGCGCTTCCAAGCCCATGCCACGCGAGGCTGTCTTTGCAAAACACTGTCGTAGACCCTTAACCCTGAGCCACTTCGTTCGCGGAGGCAGCGCAAGGATGTTCCGAGGGTTCTACTCTGGGGCTGGAGCCTCAGGATGACCAAGCAAAGCCCTGAGCCCCAGACCTTACACGCGTGCTGCTAGGCAGCAAGACTCTCACGTTGCAACTGTCTGGACAAGATGCAGGCAAGAAGTGCTTTTACGAAGCTGATGTCAGACTTGGACATTTTCATGCTGCCAGGGCTCTGCACCAGCAAGGGTTGCCGCGCGTTTGACAGCTGGAAGCTCGGTCGTGAAATCGCTGGCCTCTGCGCAGAAACTGCCCCCGACCTCTCAGGTGGCAGAGCTGAAGGCGGAGCTTCGAAGTCGTGGGTTGTCGCTGAAGGGCAAGAAGCAAGACCTTGTTCAGAGGCTTCAAGAGGCAGAGGCAGGCATGCACTTCGAGTTTCTGAGTGCAAGACTGTGTGGCCTTCGGAGCACACTTTTCTCGCATGGCTATAGAGTTGTACTAAACCCTAAACCCTGAACCCTCAACCCTTTCAATGGGCATGCGTGCAGCTCGAGTTTCGCATGTCATCTGTGCGGAGGCTTCTGCCTTGCCGAAGACAAAGAATCCGCAGGCGGATTCAATGTGGCAGCTTCAGGGCCTAGGCTTTTGAGTTAAAGGCGAGGATGCTGATAATTTGAAAAAGGGGCGTGCTTGCAACTCGGGTTAGCGTGTCTTCTGTGCAGAGGATCCCATGGGTCACGCCTTGCCGAAGACAAAGACGGTGCAGGCGGATTGACTCGAGACTCTGGCAGCTTGAGGGTTGAGAGGTTGTTTTTTTGGTGACTTGTTTCCTATAGAGTTTTACTAAACCCTAAACCCGGAACCCTCGACCCTCCAGTCTCTTTGAACGGGGCATGCTGCTGGAGTTTCGCATGTCTTCTGTGCGGAGGCCCCTGCCTTGTCGAAGACAAAGAAGCCGCAGGCGGATTCAATCTGGCAACTTGAGGGTTAAGGCTTTTGAACTGAAGGCGAGGATGCCAATAGCACATGTCCTGTCTTTGATCGGGATGTGCTTGCAGCTCGGGTTGAGCGTGTCTTCTGTGCAGAGGCTACCGCGCCTCACGCCTTGCCGAAGACCAAGAAGGTGCAGACTCGAGACTCTGGCAGCTTCAGGGCCAGTCTTGTGTGCAGAGGCTCCCCTGAAGCCGAAGACAAAGAAGCTTGAGGCGGATTTCATCTGGCAGCCTCTGGGGTTGAAGGTTTAGGTCGGGTTAGGGTCCGGAGTCCCGATCAGGACACTTCCGAAGTGGAAGACGAGGTGTTTGACCAGTCTGAGGCAGAGGAAGACAACTATGAAAGGTACACTGAGCCTCCTCTTGAAGCCCACACTGAGCTTGTTAGCACAAAGACGCCCTTGGCAATGGCTGTGGATGTTGCTGAAGCAAGGGCTGCTAGTGAGCCCATATCCGCGCGTGGTGGCCGTGGACATGAGGGTGAAGATCGTGTCAGCAGCAAGCGCCAGCGTCCGAAATCTCCCGACACTCACGCAGGGAAGTGTGCGTATCAGATCCCGAAGGCGGCATTTGAACGTCTCTTCCGAGAAGTGGCGGCTGACACCGCTGCGTCCTTGGAGGCGGACCTGCAGAAACTCGTGAAGACGGACAACGTTCGCCCGCCCACCATGCCCAAGTTCTCTTACGGTGCTCTCCGGGCAGCGCACTACATGGCGGAGGATTTTCTCCACGGCCGCTTTGCAGACTCTGCGTTGCTGGCAAGACATGCCAAGAGGGCCACCGTGTGTGTGAAGGATATGAGGCTCGCCGCAGGCTTGAGAGAGGGTGCCTTTCAGAAGAATGAGGAGAATGCCCACTTCATGACTCTTAGACATGTTCTCGCGAAGCGGAGGAAGGTGGCAGCAAAGCGTGCTCAGAAGAAGCCTGTTGCCACGTAGCTACCGTCAGCTTGATCTGCCCTTGATCGAAGCTCGGTGCCCCAGACCCGTTAAAATGTTTTAGGCCACTGCCCTCCCCTCCACACCCTCCAACGCGACGCGTTTTCGAGGTTTCAGGCTCCAACATGCCCAAAACGCGTAGCTACTGCTCTGTTGCGAAGTGAAAGCTCCATGCCCGTGGCCACTGCCCTCCCCTCCACACCCTCCAACGCGGCGCGTTTTGAAGGTTTCAGGCTCCAACATGCCCAAAACGCGTAGCTACTGCTCGGTTGCGAAGTGAAGGCTCCATGCCCGTGGCCACTGCCCTCCCCTCCACACCCTCCAACGCGGCGCGTTTTGAAGGTTTCAGGCTCCAACATGCCCAAAAACGCGTAGCTACTGCTACTGCTCTGTTGCGAAGTGAAGGCTGGCCACTGCCCTCCCCTCCACACCCTCCAACGCGACGCGTTTTGAAGGTTTCAGGCTCCAACATGCCCAAAACGCGTAGCTACTGCTCGGTTGCGAAGTGAAGGCTCCATGCCCGTGGCCACTGCCCTCCCCTCCACACCCTCCAACGCGGCGCGTTTTGAAGGTTTCAGGCTCCAACATGCCCAAAACGCGTAGCTACTGCTCTGTTGCGAAGTGAAGGCTCCATGCCCGTGGCCACTGCCCTCCCCTCCACACCCTCCAACGCGGCGCGTTTTGAAGGTTTCAGGCTCCAACATGCCCAAAAACGCGTAGCTACTGCTACTGCTCTGTTGCGAAGTGAAGGCTGGCCACTGCCCTCCCCTCCACACCCTCCAACGCGACGCGTTTTGAAGGTTTCAGGCTCCAACATGCCCAAAACGCGTAGCTACTGCTCGGTTGCGAAGTGAAGGCTCCATGCCCGTGGCCACTGCCCTCCCCTCCACACCCTCCAACGCGGCGCGTTTTGAAGGTTTCAGGCTCCAACATGCCCAAAACGCGTAGCTACTGCTCTGTTGCGAAGTGAAGGCTCCATGCCCGTGGCCACTGCCCTCCCCTCCACACCCTCCAACGCGACGCGTTTTGAAGGTTTCAGGCTCCAACATGCCCAAAACGCGTAGCTACTGCTCGGTTGCGAAGTGAAGGCTCCATGCCCGTGGCCACTGCCCTCCCCTCCACACCCTCCAACGCGACGCGTTTTGAAGGTTTCAGGCTCCAACATGCCCAAAACGCGTAGCTACTGCCCTCCCTTTCTTTCAAGTTTACCCTTGACTCTTGGCCCTAAACCCTCAACACGAAGCAAAAAGCTTCCTTTCAAGGCAGTCAAGCACCTCATTCTCATGTTTACACTGCGGTGTGCTGGGATGCTTGGGGAACCTGCGAGAGCCGAAAAAAACTGTGAACGCAGTTTGTACGTGCAGCCTGCGCGTGGTTCCAGCAAAGTTGTGTCGTGGTTCCACGTGCTTTGGTCGCAGCGTGGTTCGACTAAACCCTCAACCCTAAACCCTAAACCCTAAACCTTATGAGGGTCATAGGTTATAGGGTTTAGGGTTTCGGGTTTAGGAAGGCTTCTAGGCGACACAAGAGAAGCTCTTGGCTTGAATTGAAGGCTTGGGGTGTAAGAGTTTTAGGGGGCTAGGGTTTAGGGATGAGGGTTTAAGTTTTCGGGTTTAGGGTTTAGAGTTTAGGGAAGAGTGTATAGGACTTGGATGTAGGGTGTTGGGGTTTAGGCCCCCCAACCTTAAACCCCAAGCCCTAAACCCTAGACCCTAAACCCTGAACTACCCTATGCCCTCAGCCGTAGACCGCCTGCTAAAAGTTACGGGATGCCTCTGCATGCTGTGGGGTTGGTTTAGGGTTTGAGGGTTTAGGGTTTAGGGTTTAGCGTTTAGCGTTTAGGGTTTAGGGTTTAGGGGCCTAGGGTTTAGGGTTTAGGGTCCCTAAGACCTAAGCCCTGCTTTCAACGAAGCGGCCCCAAAGCCCCAAATTCCCCCCCCCCCCCCCCCCCCCCCCCCCCCCCCCCCCCCCGCGAATCCCTGGAACCTCATATGCCCTGTTGTCTCAGACCCCTTTCTGGGCTCTTTAGGGTTGAAAATTTAGGGTTTAGGGTTTGGTTCCTAGGTTACTTTTATAGGGTTTATAGGGTGTTTAGGGGTTAGGGTTTTGGGTTTAGGATCAAACCCTAAACTCTCAGCCCTAAACAACACTTAGCCCCCCTTGAACGCAGCCAGCCAGCCTAAAGTGGCTTTAGGATTGCGGGTTTAGGGTTTAGGGTGTAGGGTTTAGGGTTTAGGACTACTAGAACCCTGAGTAGTAGGCCCTTTTTTGCTAAGGGCTCCCTTCTCATCCCCTCAAAACCAAAATAAAGCGGGTATACAGCCTTCCATGGCCAGGCCCTGGCTGTCAGCGGGCCGTGGAGTACCTGACCAAGGACAAGCATCCCCACAACCAGCCCAACAAACCCTAAACCCTGAACCCCAAAACCTGAACCCTGAAACCTGAACCCTGAAC